CTGGTTTGGAATCAATGGGCAACTATCAAAAATCAGAAGCCAATCACCTTTTTATTCAACAACCCTAACAATTTATCCACACGCTCTCACTAGGAGCTGCACTGACATAAAGGGCTGTAGAGATGTGAAAGTCACCACAAGCCTTGTTAGAGTCAACGGGTCCAGCTTCACCAGGGGTTTTGAGAAGTTGAGACTCTGCTAAATTATCCCCAGTGATCTAAACCCCATACTGAATTTCATGGACCACTGGAGTCCTTGGGCACTGGCCAGCCTGCAGGTATCAAATTAATACCTGAAATGCAGTTTATTTTCTTTCCACAATTTGTTGAGTTAGTCCCAGAAAGCAACATCTGAAACAGCCATTCAAAATTCTATCATCTGCCAGGATGGAGGTGGAGAAAGGAAGAAACAATCATGTGGCAAAGGAAAAACATTCCCCATGATTCCTCTAGTTTTAATCAACTAAGGAATAAATTCTCCAAGCTAGAAGGCAAAACAAAATAGTTTTCAAAAATGTCTTTGTAGTTAATGCTACAACCTTAAAATTTAGGTTTCCTATGGTCTTTTCAAATTCAAGAGGTGACATGCAGGAAAAGGATGTCAAATTCACTTGTTTGCTCTTGAAAAGACAAGGTGGTCCTCACGTAGGACTTGAAATGTTTTCATTTCTAAAAACAACTTAAAAGAAAGATGACTGTAATCAAGGAAGAAATATGGCAAAATTCCATAATGAAGCAACATTGTTTATGTGTCTCAGACTTTGAGGAAGAGAGGCTGGCTAATTCAAACAACTGCTTTTGAGGCTGCACTGTCCACTTCTACACATGAAATGTATACAGGGGCTTTTCCATTATAATCACAATCCCCTATTAATGTCTTTCTTTTCCATCTGGGTTTGCTGGTAACATTGATAAGGTTGATAAGGTTGAAGCTGAATATTTCTTTTCACAGAGATTCAAAAAGTTCTGATTTACAAGGGTATTTCAGTGGTTCCTGATCGCATTAAATTGATTTACTTTTTCAAGGGTGAAGAAGGGACCACTTCCATTTTTTAATATGGCTGCAGTGGGCAGTCTTGTAGATGGCTGATGATACAATTACATGAAACGTTTCTGTGCTTTAAAGATACAGCTAACATAAGAATAATAATGGGGAGACATCAAGTTTTCAGAAAGAGGTCTGCTAGGAAAATTATGAAGAAGTGCAGAGCTGTAGAATTTGTATGTCTCTTTTGTGAAGTTAGAATAGAATATGGCAGCCTTCAAAAAGGACATACTGATGGCATATAGCAAGTTCGGCAAATTTGTACCGACTTAAGTAGATTGTAGTGGGTGTGGTGTGTTGATGATTTCAAGCTATTTCAGTACCATGAGGATAGAAAGTATTAGAGCTCAGGGATCATTTAGTGATCTCTGCTATAGGCAATTGTGATTGGGGGCTACCTACCCACAGCCAGATTACTTGTCGTATCTGGCTTAATATCTTCTCATAGCACCACTGAGCACTAGCTATACTTTCCCCTCTCCAAAAAGCTTTTGTGCTATTATCTGTATTGTGCTCTTCTCACTCCCTAAATAAATAAATCAGGAAGCCATCAGTGGCTTAGCAAGAAACAAGTTGATGCAATCTGAGTAGTGAATGATGACTTAATTCCCTTACTGGGCTTATGCCTAGGAAAGTTTGAAAAGCCTTTTATGTACCTATCATTGTACATAAACCCTAAATCTCTATCATTTTTCATGGGAAGAAATCGAAATAAGTCATTTGGATGATATGATTGAAATGAAAAACATCACCCTCATCCCTTGTATCCATCCTAGCCAACTGCAGTAGACACTGATTGACCAGGGGAAAGAGTCTTCAACTGATGTGGGACAGGCCCCTAGATGGCAATGGAAAGAGATTTTAGCTGCTGCATCTGAAGAGTCAAGTCCATATAAAGGACCTGAAGGGGAGAATCAAGGTAAGAGTGCTGGAGGACTGACACAGCGGTAGGGTGGGCTGGGATGCTGAGGGTGTTGGTTATGGATGTAACAAAATAACTGATGTAACAAGTAAACCACAAAACCTCTAAGAATTAATTTAAGATTCTTTTTTCTCATTCACATAAAGTTCAATTGGCAATAGAGAGTTGTTACTAATCTCTCTGTCCTCCATCCATTGTCCTGAATTCAGACACATGGCCACCTCTTGTCACCAGGGAGGCTGGAAAACAGTCGAGCTGTGCATTTAGAAGGAAAGGGAATAGGTCTGTGCCCCAAAGGGACAGATAGTTCCTTTAACCGGCTGACCAAATGCGTTAATCCTCGTATGCGTATTGTATAAATATATTGTGTCTTGTCCAAGTAGTTTTATTAATTTAGTTTGTCAGTTTGGTCAGTTTCTTGCTTCGTGGTGCACCTTCAGGTCTTTGACTTATGAAAAACATAACTATTATTTTGTAGTTTGTTATATAAAGCACCCAGCATGGCTTCATGACAAAAGAGATGATAAATAATATATCTTTCATGATGTTGAAAATAAGATATACTCAATGAGTAGCAACTATCCAATTCTGCAAATCTTTCACAGATCTTATTTTGTATTTGCAGCACCTGCAAAATCGAAGACTCTTATTTTTATTATCTCAGTATCATGCCAAAAAAAATTTACAGACGATGTCTGAGTATCCAAAATCAACCTTAATAACAGGATGCCTCAGGGATGTCAGATCTAGTCAGGAGCAAAAAGGTAGATTCAAATTGAAATCCTTTTTGACCTAATTCTCCTTTTTCCTCCCATTTATTCCTTTTTGGCCTTCTATTTCTTCTCCTCCTATGCCTCCTCCTTCTCCATCATTATATACCAGAAACGGATGCTTGTGGAAAGCCCAGCCTTTTGCCAGGTAGCATAACTTTGGAATATCCTCAGAATGAAACTCAGAAAATCTATACTGTGACCAAGATAATTCTTATTTTGATTGAGCCACATACATGATGTAACCTGGAATGGTTTGACACATACCAGGCCAAATCGTTTCATAATTATCCATTTGAATCAGCTCTATTCCTTCATCCATTCCTTCCTCATATCACATATGTGCCATGTCCTGATGGAAGCAAATGGATGGTTTGGGACATCTGAGGACCAGGTTTGTCATGTTCCACAGGACTTGGAAGGCTAAGACATGCTTACATGATGTAATAAGTAAAGAACTAGTTAATTACCCTTCGGACTCTTCATCAATTACAGGACAAATCTGCTTGGCTTGGTACTACATGGTCAATAGAAATGAGTTCATAAAAATATGTAAATATAGCATTTAATTTTTTTGTGAACATAGCATTATTTTAGAACTTTCATAACATTTTCTACCAATTGATTTTTGTCATTCCCTGGAATATTTATTCATTGAATGATAAAAAGCAAATTCTTTTTCAGTTGATGTCTGGCCTATATTCAGCCCCTAGTGTTACTCTAAAAATGACTCTGAACTTTCCAATCCCTGACCAAAATCTCAATGAATGTACCATAGAGATTCACAAGATATACTCAGAGGATTGCTGTTTTTTAAAAGTCATTTTTAACGGTTTGATTCTGGAAAGTAAAACTTAAAAAACATCTTGTCAAGTACTTCTATGATGGTTATTAAAAATACATTTGTATTTCAAGGTAGATTTAAACCATATGTTCTTATTTGTCCCCATTTAGACCATTAAACTACTATTTTGCAAGAGACAATCAAAATCTAAAAAGCCACAGGAGCGCTTTCTTAAAATACTTTCATATGTTTCTTCTTTTAGCATGGTGACACTTTCTTCCTCACCTGCCAGTGCTAAGCACACCTGGAAGGGTGTATATTTAGCCAAAACTCATAAAACCAGAATCATATCAAGACTTGCTTGGCAAGTTTTTATTTGTTTGAACAAGAACTGAGAAGTCAGAATGCTGCCTTAAATTTCTTTTGGCCGTTTTTCTTTTCTTTTTTTTTTCCCCAGCTATTTAGACAATCAGAAGATTGGATATCAAAGCTGCATTTATCTAAGTATTTTAAAACTGTGCCAAAATAAAAGCTAATCATTTGGTAATCATTTTGTAATCAGTATGCATAGAAGAGAAATAGCAGCAGTAAAGCAGTTGCTGCATGTTTGCTGACAAAATATTTAATCCAAACATTTAATATCAATCTGCCACTGTTCTCAGTCAGTATAATTACTTTAAGCAAATACCACGTTGGAAAAAATGGCCCAAGCCACTGAAATGTAAATAATACAATATAATCATCACTACACTTAAATTCATATACTATAATTTATTTGGATCAATTTCATAAATATGGGTGTAATACATGTTTAAATTATTATAAACATGTGGATCTAGGCTACACTTACAGGAGCTGATTTACTCTTTCTTATTGGCTACATAGACTTAAAATAAAGAGTTTCTAAATGAGACAAATCACATGGACCTTCTTATAATATTAATAGGAATGAGCAAAATTACTTTTATACCTGTTTGTCACTATGTCAAGGTTAGACAAACTATGTAATTTACAAGAATTGGCAGAATCATTGATCCAATATCTATTTATAGAATATGTTAAGTATGATATGTTAAATATAACAAATATATTTAACATAGAAGTTTTTAGAAATATATATGTATATATGATACATGTTTTAAATTAAAGTTCATAGAAATATTATAGAACCAATGGATACAGTCTCTACTTTAAATGGGGTTACCAGCAAGAACAGTGTTAATTTTTAAAAATGAAGATCAATAAAATGTGAAAATACAAAAAGAATAAATTATCCTAGACCAGGGCCTTTATCTTATTTATCTTTGTATCCTTGGCATCTACAAAATGTTCAACATGTAGAAAGTAAAGTTCCAAGATGTGCCCATTATGGAGCCCAGTGTGCTCTTAGCCATTCCTGCTGAATCTGCCCTACTCACTGTCCCCTTGCAGGCTAGCAGTATTTGAAGATACTTTATGAAGGAGAGATCACTTACTGAACTACAGTGCCACCTGATTCAGGCTAGTCAGGAACACATAAGATGGTCTGATAAACAGGGCCTTTTGCATAGAGTTCTGAACAAATCCGATGAGGTCCCTTTAACCTTAATTAAAAAAATGATCAACAAATATTTGTCTTTCTCATTAAAATAGTATATTTTTGAAGTCTAGTTAATAGCTAAAAATGTTAAAATCTTATTTTGATACCTGAGATTTATTTCCAAATAATATGAGAGCAGAGAAATTAGTAGATATTCCAGATGAAACAAAGTTTGTCTTTTGCTGATAATTCTTAAAGCTGATGATGGGCTTATCAGAGTTCATTATACTATTCCCTCTACTTTGTACATTTTTAATAATTTTCCATATTAGAAAAATTTTGAACTCTATTCTTATACCTGGAGTCAGCCTCAGCCCCCTGCAGTGTGGGGACCCTTCTTCTCCATCATCTATTGAATATCTGTTTATATGACATTCTGATATCTCCTAAAGATACCTCTGCTTTTGTATTTCCCTGTATCAGATAGTAAAGAGAACTGTATTAGTGCTTTCAGTTGCCGTTAACAAAACACTTAACTAAATGTGTTAAATACAATAAGGACCTTTATTTCTCTCAAAAGATGTCTGGAGATAGATATTTCTAGGGTGAATTAAAAATATTGTGAAAGACATTATCTTTGCACTTTGTCATCCTCAGTGACATTCAGTCAAAATTTAGGCTTCATAAATTTGGATTGCTGTATCAGTGTCTCAAGAAAGAGGCTGAAATTCCTGTCATTATAGTAGACGATGCCAGATTAAAGAAGAGAGCATTTTCCCCCAGGTTTCTCTTTTTGCTAAATTCTTTTATGTAAGACCATAGCGAAAGTTCCTTAATGTCTCATTACCCACTGACTAGACATAGGGGAGATGGAAAATTAGTATTTGAGATCTTCAGCTTCTACAATTCAGAGAGGGATTCTGAAGCAGATAACATGCAAAGAGCTCTTGTAGACAACTGACAATGATTCCCTGTGGGTCTCAGTAAGTGGCACTAACATGGCATCTGTATCTGTTACAGTTGCTACAATAATGCCAGGTAACAAAGAGCCACACAACCTCAGTGTGTAAAATATACCTTTTGCTTAGCACAGTTCAGTAAGGTTCAGTTGATTGGAACTGGGTTTGACTGGTGTCATCTAGCCTCATTCCTGAATCTGTGGATAGAGGCAGGCTGCCAGTTGTCTTGGCAGATCTTAGCTGATGTCGGCTGGACTGCTTACATGGCTTATTAGTTGTCTGATGGATAAACTAGGATGATCTTGGTTGGAATGACTAGGGAGATGGCTCTGTTACGTCTCCTACTCCAGCAAGTTAAAATAGGCATATTCTGAGGGCCTATTGAGAGAGACAAAAGCAGAAGCAGAATCATACAAGAATGTTTTTCAAGTTTATGTATGCATCATATCTGTTAACTTCTCAGTGGTCAAAGCATTACCAAAGTATCAAGATGTCAAGAAACAACTCTATTTCCTAAGAGGAAATACAAAGAAGCATGACAAAGGTTTCATACAGGTCAGAGCAAAGAATTGGGGCTATTAATGCAACTAATCTAACCAAACCAAGCCTTAGAAAAGCTAGATATTAATGGCCAATCTTGGCACTTCTTTCATCCTCAACTCCCATTTCCAAAACAATCAAGACCTATCAATGTTTCTTTCCAAATGTCCGTCAAATCTTTCCTCTACTCTCCATTTTAGCACCAGTAATCTAGTGCAAATTCTTAATAAGGATTCCATAATAGCATCTTAATTGGTGCCCCTATGCAGTGCCCCATAACAGCTAGAATGATCCTTAAGAAATGTGTGTCTGAATGTGTGACACAAACATTTTGATGACTCAGCATTGCTTTTCAAATAAAAATAGAACTCCCTAAAAAGGTCTACAAATTCCTGAAGATTTTGGACCCTACTTAGCTCTTCCATTTTATCTTAGACTACACTCCCCACCTTTTAATTCCAGGGTCTTTACAGTCCCTGGAACAGTCCTTGGTCCCAGGGTACAGTCCCTGGTTCTCTTCTTTTCTGTCACAGTTTCTTCACATATGTCATTTCTTCTTCCAGGAATATTCTTCCATCTGCTCTTTGCCTAAGTAACTTTGACTCATTCCTCAGATCTCTGCTTAAGTGTCACTTTCAACTGAGTCTTTGTTAGAACCAATCACACAGATGTAGATCCTCATCATACTATATAAACAGTTCATTTGCTGAACTGTCCTAGTTAAAATTTTGTATTACTTTCTGTGACTTTTTACATGAACTTTATATTTTGAAATAATTTGAGATACAGAGGAGTTGCAAAGACAGCACAGGGAATTCCCATATACCCTTTACCCAGGTTCCTCTAATATTAGCACCTTAAATAACCACTAATGAAAACTAAGAAATTAATATTAGTATAATACTGCTAACTAAAATACTGACTTTATTTAGATTTCATCAATTTTTCAATTTATTTATTTATTCATCTTTTAGGGCAGGATGCCATGCTGTATTTAATTATATTTGTATCTCTTTAGTCACTTCTAATTTGTGGCATTTTGTCATTCTTTCCTTGTTTTTCATGACCTTGTCAATTTTCAAGATTTCTGATCAGGAATATTTTAGAATGTTCCTCAATTTCAATTTCCCTGACGTTTTCTCACTATCAGACGTGATTATGGATTTTGGGGAAGGACATCAGAGAGATGAGGTGCAGATTTCACTGCATGATGTCAGAGGGTGCATGCTATCAACATGACTTACCACTAAGTCAAGCCACATTCAAGTGGCAGGGAGTTCAGATTCACCCCTTGGAGAGAGGAGGGTCCATAAATTTATAAATATATGTTAAAACCACCACAGTAATTAGGAAATGTTTGGGAGATGTGCTTTGTAGTTATATAAAGATTCTCCCTAAAGTTTTGCCTACCGACCTCTTATACTTTTAATTCCGTCTTGGTATCTGTTTCTTTGAGGACTTCAGCTGGTAATAAGTTTCTTTTCACATTTATCAATATGGCAGATATTTTGTTCTGTTCTGATATTTTGCTCTTAATTCTCTCAGATATTTCTAGGATTCTGCCAGTTTATGTTTTATCTCTTCCTGTTGTCTTAACATCACTTCCTTGAATTCTTATATTTCTATTTTATGGTCTTCATAAATTCATTCATTTTAAATAAACAACAGAATTTTGGGTCACAAATTTCAACTGCTCCATCCATCCTTCTGGTGAATGTTCTTTATCTCTGCTATGTTTTGTTCTTCTTTTATCCTTTTTTTTTTCTTATGATATCATCCCATTGCTGCTCTGCCACTTCATCTTTCTTTATTCATTAGCAAATGAGTTTTGTTTTTTTCCAGAATGAGCTCTAGGCAAAATTGTTTGCGTGTGTGTGTATGTCTCTAAGTGTGATTCTTTTTTGAAGCCCCATTAATACTCATTTTTAAACTGGGTCTAGGATGGCTTCTTCTGCTAACTCTGCTCTCTCAACAATGTTGCAACCAAAGTTTTTCAGAGTACACCCTTCCCCATGAGAAAGCATGATTTTATGATTTTGCTTCCTAATATTAACTGCCACTATACTTTCTGAACTTCTTTTCCCCTCTCCTTGCTTCCCTTCTGCCTAATCTCAGCTGCCTTTAAAAGCCTTTATACATGCTTTGAATCTGCAGATAGCTGTCTTATTATTACTTTGAAGCTGGAGTTTGTAAGTCATTTTGTATTCTCCCTGTTTCTTTTTGTATGTTTTCTAGAAGAATTTGAAAGATGCTGACATAGACAGCCATTTCACACCGGGAGCCTTTACATGCACGTCAGTCTCTTCCACTAGCAGGGATTCTCAACCGTGGCAGTGTTGACAATTTGGATCAGATGCTTCTTTGTTGTGCGAGCTCTACTGTGCATTGTAGGATGTTTAGCAGCACTTCTGGCCTCTACCCACTAGACGCAAGTTGTTATAATCAAAATTATTTCTATATATTGCCAAATATCCCCTGAGAGGCAAAGTTGCTCCCGGTAGAGAACCACTCCACTAGACCAAAAACCCAGTGAGAATTGGGGTGTCTTCTTTGTTAAACTTTCTATTCCCATTACTTAGCATAGCTTAAGCCATAGTAATAATTCAATAGCAATATTTAGATAGTATGAATGAATAAGTGGAAAGAGAATCATTGAGTTTAATTGCTCTTCTCGGGATCCTCATATATTAAGAAACAATACTTTATAATCAGGTCATACTTGACCAAATGTATGCCTTTCCCTAGTGAAATATACATAGACTCTAACTATAAAAGGATCTTTGAGAGATCCAGTACAAAGCTTTTATTTAACGGGAAGAAAATGATAGAGAGTTTATGATTTATTCCTTATTTCACAGAGATTTAGTGGTAGAGCTGGGATTAACTCTTCACACATTAGGACTTTCTCAAAAAAGCTGATGAATTATTTAATTCAACATTGCATATATTTAGTAAATATGCATGCCATAGACTGAAACCTCTGAAAAACAAAACAAAAATGAAATAAAACTAGTATCTGGATTTACAATTAGAAGAATGTGAAATAATATCACAGAAAAATGTCTTGATTCAGTTTTTTTAGAAAATGCAAAGAAACTGGTTCTCTAAACATGCAAAATTATAAAAGAGATATATGCTTCAATAGCAAAACACAGTAAAAAGTCTGTAATCTTTTCTAGGATCTTGATTATTTTGATAAAGCCTAAGTTCTCTTTTTGTAAAGCACCTAAATTTGGTGTCACTAAGAGAAATAAAAAAGTTGCCTGGGAAGAACGTATATAGTATATTTTGAATGATAATGAATTATATCATTGGAAAAATGCATTAAATTAAGAAATATTTTTAAAACATCAACACAGAAACAGTGTATGGCACTTTCAAAAGTGTTGCTCTCTTTTACTGATGTGGAATGGGACGAGGTTATGCCCAGTTGGGCAGGCTGACTGGTATAGGTATGACCAGGTTAACGTGTAAATATTCTAACATAGTTTATATAACATCAATCATTCACATTTTCCTACATTGAATAGTTGGAGGGATAGGAAAGATACAATCTTCTTAACAAATATTGACTTCTTTTTCAATTATTGATTCATAAAGAATCCTTTTATGACAACATCTTCTGTGGGAACCACTATTTAAACTTAAACCACTGAGTTTATTTAACTACTTTATTTAACTAGTTATTTCCCATTGACTCACTTGGTTAAAGTCTGTAGTTTGAGAAACTCACAAAATCAGTCTTTTACTTAGAGCACTATATAAATGGACATGGAACAATTAATTCCTAACCGACAAAATTAAAAACTTGCTTATAAATGATGTCATGCTTAAGAAGCTGAAATATTTTGTTGAGTTTTAATTATGACAAAACCCTTTACTGAAGGGTTCATAGGAAGATGAATACTCCAAGTGTCTTATCAAGAGATAGGTATTTCTAGGTTGAAGGGAAATATTAATTGTATTAATGATGAAATGAGTAGAAATGGTGTGTACTATAAAATATAGAAACAAAACTATGAAATATATAAGATGAAAATTATGGTTAATATAAAGACAACTATTGCAAAAGTAATGCTAATGTTTTGAGTTCTGTGAAGGGAGGAACTGTGTTTAGGGTGTCTTTGTGTCTTTGATGACGAGTAGATAAGCTGGCATTTAACAGGTATTGAATAAATGTTAGTAGAAAGAATTAATGAATATGCAATTAGGTGGTTATAGATTTCCAGCCAGTACCACATTTTTGGAGAGAAATTACATTCTAAAAGCAACTTCATTTTGAAGTCCTTTGACACAAAAATCTACTTTCAGTATAGAAAAATCAGAGATTGCAAAAATGAAATAAAAATTACCCATATCTTATCATCTAAATAAGTAGTTACACTATTAACATTGAGAAGTATACATTGCTAGACATTTTTCTTGCTTTAGCAAGCTCTGTAACTGTTTCAAAAGAGATAGAAGAGTTAGAGGAGAAATAGGTTGTCTTGAATACCTACTATTCATTCTCTTGGGGAAGGCTGTTAGGTGGAGCTACTGGTGATCATTTACTTTGAAGAGAATACAGAAGTTAAAAGAGAAACCACGTACTTTTCCCCCTCCATGGTAGACTTCCTCGGTACCCACCATCATGATGATTTTCTCTTTTAGGGGAGGATTTAGCCTTATCTGCAACCCATACAAGAAAAGACAGACAGAGATAGCGATAGAGGACACAGCTTTTCTAAAATAATAAAGACTACTTGAATTTAAATTTCTGGTTAGACCCAGAAAACCAACGGATGGTTACCGGGGGGGAAGGAGGGTGTGGAGGGATAAATTGGGAGTTTGGGATTTGCGGATACTAACTACTATGTATAAAATTGATAAACAACAAGGTTCTACTGTATAGCACATGGAACTATATTCAATACCTTGTAATGGCCTATAAAGAAAAAGAATATGAAAAGGAATATATGTATATATGTATGACTGAATTACTATGCTGTATACCAGAAATTAACACAACATTGTAAATGGAGTACACTTTAATAAAAATAAATTTTTGGCTAAACATAACAATATTTTGCAGAGAAATATAATACTATTCACGTGCTGTAAGTAAATCAAATGGAAAAAACATCTGTTAAAACTTATTGACCTCATTAGCAATTTAAATTAAACAGATTTTACCCAATTTCTTTGTTTTCTTCTTTCAGCAAAACTGTATCTGAAAGCCTGGGATTCACATCTCACAGTGCCAGATATTGTAGAGTGAAAAATATGCGAATAAGCACAACTAGAAAATATCAGGCATATGGCATGAAACACATTTCCATTCATTTTCCAAAGGGGGGAAAATACATTTCAACAGAATGTAAAATATTGTGCTCTGGTTTACTTGCCAAATACAGCAAAGTATGAAGCAAGGAAATCAATGGCTAGTTTAAATTGGGAGAGTTTAGAGTAATTGCTCTATAAGCAAATAATTTGGACAAGTTAGGTGTTTGGGCGTGGGAATTTAAGAGCGTCTTAGAGCCTGTCTGATTTTCCTTTTTCCTTTCTGACGGAAAGCTTTTGTCCTGATGAATTTCACTTCTGTCACAATCCTAGTTTCCACAGGCCAGAGAGCAAGGGAGCCAGTGCTCCATTCATGTACCCTAATACTCCTAGATTTCTGGACTCTCGTGTGTGTTCATTGTTTCATAAAGCACCATAGATAAAAGAGCTACCCATCTCTTTGATCATTAGCATCTGTTTCCATCTAAACAGAAGTGTGAGCGTCCCCAGTGTAACTGGACAACACTGGCAGACATGAAGTATTAAACAACTCAGCCTGCACAAATCCTCAGGAGTAACCAGTTGTAATTAGCTAACTGGAAACCCATCATCCAATGGTAAACAGATCAACTGAATCAAACCTATTTCAAAAGGCTGCCTTGAAGTGATGTTACTTCCAGAATAATTACAACCATAATTCTCAGAAGTGAAGGGTACCCTTTTGTTTACTTTTTAACCAGACTTGCCTATATTATAGGTCAAGCACGTGTGTCAAAAGTGACTGCACAGCAATGACTTCTCTTACTTATCAGGTTTGTTTACATGGGTAAACAAAGCTCATCTCTCCTGAAACCCAGCACAGAAGAAAAGACTGTGACTCCAGTAGTGAGCAGGAGAGGAACAAAACCGACCAGAGCAGGCACAGTTCCTTATTTATTGCTCCCAGCAGGTATCAGATGCCATAGTTTCTTCACAACCATCAACACCCCAGGGCTTTTTAGTTCCATATCCAAGACAAGGAAGACAGAGGATGGCGACTAACCCCACGGGATTAGGTACCTGAATCCTATCCCAACTACTAGCAGACTCCAGCTGCATTTAAATGTTTTTTTTGAAGAATTTCTGATGCTCAGTGGTTGCTGATTACTTCCAGATTTTAGTTCTACCCCAGTGGAGATTTGCTACAAAGAGTTTATCTGTTGTTGTTAAAATTGCAATTGCTATAAGAAATGTCTTCTCTTAAGCCAGTTCCCAAAACACAAACTGTTACAACAGTTAAACAAACAAACAAAACCAAACCTGGCTACTATTTAAACATGCATTCATCACACTGATGGGAGAGTTAGTGAGAATGTGTGGGTAAGACTGGTGGCATTGGTTTGCAATTCTCATTACTCTCAGAACCGAGATGTGATGGCTGAAGTTACTGTTTTTAGCACTTGTAAAGGACTCAAGTATGTGTTCTTTATTCAGTTATATCTCAACTGACAGAAGATTAATTTTTGAAATCAGAATAATAGCCCAACTATTAAAGGGCATAACTATTCAGATTTTCCCCCCAAGATTATTTCGTATTTTCCCTCAATAGCAAAAAACACTCAGTCCATAATATTTCATTAAAAACTGAATCATTTAAGGACCAAAACCATTTTCTAAGATGGTGTGTGTATATATGTGTGTGTTTGTGACACTTAGTGTGCATGTTTACATCTTAGGTACTTAACTGACATCTCTAGATGGGCATGAGATTTTAAAACACCCAAATGCACTAAATACACTCTTCCATGGTTCAAACTGGTTCTAAACATCTCTTAATTTACAAATGCTGCTTCTGTTGCTGTTGCTGCTGCCATTTTTAGACTCCTAGGTTGCTAAAGATACTGCTTCTTGGAGGCCTGTTCTGCCTAACGGTTTTCCTCTCAAAACATCTCCCTGTCCTGAATGTCGACCAGGCCTATCAACTGCCCTTCTGCTGCTGTCCATTCTCCTCCTGTGGTAGGGAAAAACAAATCTGACTCCATAATAGATCTGTCCCTTGGCTCTAACCCTGTGCTCTGTTTCCTGTGCTTAGTCATGCTGGTTCTGCATCTTTGTAAAAGAATGTTTCCTATAGCCTGAAATAGACAGAAAAGCCCATACTCAAGACTCTGACCTTTAAGGGCATAACACTTTTCCATTCATATAAAGATAAAAAGTTGCAGAACAGAGAATAACATTCGACTTGTTGGAAGTTTACAGATTTATGTGGACAGTTGCAAGAACAAAGGACTCCAACACCAAGACATTTGCAACAAACAACCACTCCTCCTCCCCTCTTTAGTATAAAAGGAGCCTGAATTCTGACTTGGTTAAGATGGTCCTGTTGGACATTAGTTCCCTATCTTTTTGGTCTGCTGGCTTTCCTAATGAAGTCATTAATCCTGTCCCCAACACTTCGTCTCCCGTTGATTTTCCTGTTGTGTGGCAAGTTGGAACTTGGTAACAAAATCACTTTTTGTTGGCCATGAAAGGCCACACATTTGATTTGCCCTTATTCATCAAGTTTGCAACATAACTATACAGTCTAAGTTACAAAATGGAAATCATGTCCACCCATACAATCTGAAGATGAAAATTGAGATAATTAAGCTAATGATGTTCATTCTTGCTTCCACCATTTATCTGTGAGACAATCCAGATAGCAGGGAAGAGTATGGTTTCCTTTTCTAGATTATTGCTTCAATTAATGCTTCATTGTTCACAGGTAGATACGAATGGAGTCAGCTAACAATGTGTCTTTTCACGTCCTCACTCTTTCTTTCTTTCTATACCCTTCTGGCATATCACAATGTCCACTTCTAGATGGGTGTGCTAGATGGTGCCTGCCCTCGCATATCTTCAGAGCAAGCATGTGCCAATCATAGAACCTAGAAGGGACAATGTCCCAGGAGAGCCCACTGCTGCTGTGTAAAAAATTCTTATTAAGTGCTGCTTATGGTTTTCAGTGTTACAAGGCTTAAATTGTCCACAAAAGGATTGTATTTCACAAAATCTTATCCAAAGCTTCTATACCAGGAAGCACAAATACAGTCCTGCCACTGCGATTTGTCACTCTTCTCTGTAGTTTATAGCTCACTGAAGTCAATTCTTCTCAGAACATGAGACTTGTGCTAGAGAAAAGACAACTCGCTTTAAAAGAAATCAAGAGCAGAAGTGAGGATGCAATACCCATCATTTGTGTAGGATAATCATGACATTAATACTGGACTAATTATGTTCATTACTCTATTATGTCTATAGCTCAGAATACATTATATATTGTCTCTAATTTTAAAAGGCAAGGGAATTAATGAAAACTTAAGTACACATTCATTTAATGCTAACTATGCTCAAATATAGCATTAATGATTAGGACATGGGTCTTGATTTATAGGGCTCACAGATTGGTGAAGAAGGCAGATATAGATGCCATCAAGGATCATATAAGCAAACTGTAAGGATTGCCAGGCTTGAACTAGCACCAGACTGCTATGGGACATAGACAAAGGGTCAGTCATACAAACAGGAAATAATGGCTGGAAGCACAGAAGAAGAGAGGTTGAAATTGGCTTGCACAGTATAAACATGAAACTGGTAATTGTATGAGTCACCATCTTTGTTAGCTAGTGACATAAATCAAAATCAAACTGACTT